CCGATAACTTAATACGACATTCATTTTTGGCGGAAGGCAATTTAGCGCCAAGAAAAAGAGCTAGAAATGAAAACCAAATTCAGGATCAGGGTCTAGTTTACTACGAAGAGCAATTTTGTAATGAACTATAAAAAAAATCATGGCGACCAGAAACACTAGAGACAAAGTCTTAGCGAAAAAAAGGTTCTTTGAGAGTTATGGGGTCGTTATTCCTGACAACAGAAAAATTCCTGTTTCGCACTTGTTATATAATACGCGCTGGATCGCTCACGATACTGGCTTGTGGTTGCCTTTGATATTGCGGTGACATCGATGAGAACAGAATAACTGAAGGGCACTGGACATCGTTGTTGGGGAGTTCCCAATAGGGGGGGGGGGTCGTATTTGGGCTGTGAAAAAATGTTTCAGGGACGTTGTAAGGGAATGGGGTCGTATTTGCTTGCTGGTGGGAGGAGGGGAGGGGGGTCTTATTACCCTTCTAGCCTTCTGAGAGACATTGCCTGACTTTTCGTGGTTTTTGCTGTTCCATTGTACTATATACCCCCTCACCCCTCTCCCGCCACGAGAGCAAGATTTTTGGGTAAAAGGTGGAAAATTTTCGGGTCTAAGATAGGGTAAGTACGATGAGGAAGGGGGGGGGTCGTACCAACCTCCTAAAAAGAGAGGGGGGTCGTACGAACTTGACCGAAGCCCCCAACCAATGACGTGCCCTGCCGTAGGGAGGTATCGAGGGTTCTTGTCTCCAATGGTATCGCTTTACCCCTATTTTATACTGAGGTTACAAATATTCCAGTAAAAATGCACAAGTATGAACACCAATGCCAAAAGGGACTCTGTCCTTTGAAGTGACGGTGTTATTTGCAGCGACTTTTGCTACAAACAAAACAGGCTGATAGTTGGATAGTACCTGAAATCCATGGCCGGAATCCATCAGGGATCCAAGATGACTTATTGTACCTGTCAGAATTACACCGTGCCACTGCCCGAAAGTAGCACTTCCAGGCCGCAAATCCACAGCGACGTCAAAAATCTCGCCAGAAACCTCAAATCGTAGTACTCTACTATTAGAGAAAACAGTAAATTACAAGTGAAACACCACAAAATGATGGCTAAGCTTCAACAGAAAGTAGCTCAGTCGGGTCGACTTATTCAAAACACTTCCTATTCCAGCCTTTCTAGACTGGTTCACATAATTCTCAAAGTTTGTAGAATATACTTACCACTGATACAAGTTTTCCCATTCCAGGTTGTGAGTGAAGGCCTCGTAGCACACCTTTTACGGAGTAGGAATGATTATCCTATAAGAAGCAACTTTAGGATTACATTCATCTCCTTCTATATCAAGAGATGCTTCAAGCGATATGGATGAGTGCGTCGAAGTGGTCATTTAAACAAGATGCATACATCTCTGATGGTCTTTCGGACGCTGATTATCAAATCTTGCCTTTCCATTATGCAGGAAGAGGTTGTTGTACGGAGCACAGTAGAGCTTGGTATACAAATAAGACGTGAGTCGCCACATGTGTTCCTCGGTAGCCTAGTGGGTAGTATGCCGGACTCAAGTATAGAAGTTACTGTCCTTGATGGACGTGCTCTTTTGCATTGTTTCAGCAGTGCTCTCTGGAAGTTTTTAACACAGCCTAGCATGATCAGGGAACCTTGTCATGCCATAGGGCTTTTCTTGGAAAACTGAACCATTCTCGCCTGTGAACACTTCTAATGATTTATGTTTCAAATTCAAAAGGGTTCGGGTCCTTCCTGGAGTTGTGGTTTTGCATTTTCTCAAAAATGCTCCCTGCACATCCTAAAAGCACTTTTGCGGGGTTAGGAGACCTGATCTTACCAAAAAATGTTGTTTCTGAAGGAATGGAGCCATTCTGGAACACTCCTGAAGGATACCCTTGATTGTTGGTTTCGGCGGCATTATTCGTTACGTTGTGTTGTGCCACCAAACTGATTCCAAATGGCATGGAAGCCAGAAGTGAATGTCATGTTTGTGATCAGGGCCGTCAGTAACCAATAAGGACTGAGATTCAGCGGAAAAGTTGCATCACAGAGATTTTGATCGGCGATAGTGCCAGCGACCTTAAGGAATTCGTTGCCCATGGTTACCCCACCCCACTGTATCGAAAATAGGTCGAAATCTCAGATTTGGTTGAAAACTTGCCTCTAGGGCTAATTTGAGCCCCAGAACACGAATATCACACTTGCTCGGCGTAAAAACGCTCGCCAAGGGAGTTGCAGGTCCTGCACACCCTGCCCCTCCAGAATGTGAACAAGACATTTTTATGAAAAATACCTGCAGTGATGATTTCCAGAGCACCAGACCACCTCTAATTCCAGATTTTAGCAAATTTGGGGGTTTTGGTGTGAAAATTGGAAGTTTGGTGTGGGCCTCACATACATGCTGGAGAGTGGGGTGACCTGGCAAAATTCTCATGCATAGACTTTGCGCCAGGAATCGTTCAGCAGAAATGGAGGGCAGATTTGTAATCAGCGTTCAAGGGCCCACCGGGCAGTATACATCTCATTTCGAATGGCCACTTCGACCAACCATCCTTTCCTTGTCATCCATCTGATTCGACTGATGGGGCAAATGTTTTTTCTTTCATGTATGGAAAGACTTAAAGACACATTCCGCGATTTCAGTCAGCGAATGCTGAGTTCCAGTATGAGTGTGTAGGCAGCTATTGACTCAGCAATAAAGAAAAGAAGCATAGGAGCCCAACAAAAATGCTCTAAATGCAGCCGAACACTACCCAGCATTGAGTGAGCGTGATCCGACGACCACAGCAAGAGAGCTCGCCGACGAAAAAGCAATGAGGATGGTTATCTATCCAGAGCGAATTATCTTAATCGATCCCATGCGTGTAAAATCGGTGCTCATTTAAAAGTACCCTAACCAGAGGGGTGGTCGAAGTATGAACATGCTGCTTCGAGATAATCCTAGGAAGTGAGTATCAGTCATGCAAGGCAGGGATAGCCGAGTGGTTAAGAGTGTAGACTCATAATCTCACTCTGAGCCACGAGTTCGATCCCTGCCGAGGCACAAACCTGCCTTGCAAAAATTGCAAAAATGGGGACGATACCAGCGTCAGGCCCAGGTTGACAGGCCGGCTGATGGAGGAACCCGTCACAACAATCATGACAAGTCGCAAAAGTATCAGTGTTAAAGCTAGGACGTCACCCGGAAGTGGCGCGCAGAACCCTCGCCCGAGTTCTGTGGTCAGTATGCGAGGGCTACCGAGGGGTGAACGACCTCGGCCAAAGAAGCTAGTTCGAATTGGGACCCTGAACGTGGCAGGAATATCCAAGTCCTATGCCTCAAGAAACGCGATGAAAGAGTACGAA